AAGTTTGAAATGTCTGGAATGTGTGCTGGGTGAAATTGTTCTAATATTCTGGAACAAACCTATCTTTACCATACATTATTCAAAGAGCCTAGAGCACTTTCTGATAAAGCAAAAGCAGCGAATTTATCTACATAACCGTAGGATTTTTAGAATTACTATTTAAGTCCAATATAAATGTGTAATCTAATCTGATAATACCCGTATTTGATATAATATTTATGAATGTTTATTATATGAGTCGTAAATTCACAGGCTCTGTAAAATATAATTAAGCATGTGATCTCGTTCAATCTTTTAAAGCATCGCCTTTTCATATCATCAAGGTTTGACGATTAGTAAGTACTCGTAGACTATCATTGGTTTAGACGTTTTTTCCTTTATTTCTTTTCATTTATCGTTTTAAGTATGTACACGTTTCCAACATAGTAAGTACTGTAATTTAAACTAGCAGGAATGTAAAGAAACGAGCACAACAAAGAGTTTGATAGTAATCTGTTGATGGAAGTAAAGATAGTCTACATTGCAGCACGCACCCGAAATTACTTAAGCTGCGAGCTTTTTTATTTATTTCCGTGCTACAAAAGGCTTAAAAGCTTGTGGATTGTATACAGCAAAGCTTAAAGCTTATACAATTGAAAAATGTCAAAAAGTCTATGGAAAACCTTGGGAACTCTACGTGGCAGACGTAAAAAAATACCTTCGTGGGATATTATACGACCTATGTCTACATGGGTAACAGCACTTTAGTCAAAAAATATTCTCTAGTTTTAGTTTCTCTAATTTGTGATAAAATTAATCCGAAAGGTAGCAGTTTTTCCAATATGGCGGCGCGAGCGGCAACCATACGAGGTCGCAAAGTTGAAATTCGTAAAGAGCACATCGAAATCTATAGGAATACCAATTTTCATTACCCCCGGAAAACTTTCCAGGTAAAGCCATTATTTTGTACCAAATGACTGGACTACTAGTAAAAACTGAGAAAACGATTTAAGTGATTTAAATACTGTACGCACTATTATAAGTAGGAACGTATAGATCAATCAAGGCCCTATCGAAGGCAGCTATTTGATAGTGGGCAGAGAACTTTAGGGGACTAGTATTACATTACTATCGTATAGGGGTCGCCACAGACAGTGAGTTTCTACCGAAAGAACAGCCAAGTGCGAGTTATGTTCGAATGCAGAGTAAAATGAAAACTTTTTTACCAAATGAAATCAATTTAGAAATTATGAAATTTAGAAATGAGGAGATCCTTATGAGGACCAGAGTGACTGATAATGACATAGCCCGCAGAATCGTTAAAATCAAGTGGCACTGGGCAGGAAAGTTCTTTCTTTCCTGGAGCCGGAAGCTCGTGGTTGCCACTCAAGAACCAAGTAAGACCTAGCGACCTAAAGTAAGACCTAGCGTGGGTAGGCCTCCCACTAGGTAGACCAACGATCTGGTGAGGGTCGCGGGAGGTGCCTGGATGCGAGCGGCGCAGGACCGGTCTTTGTGAAAATCGTTGGGGGACGGCTTTGCCCAGCAGTGGACGTCTTTCGGCTGAAACGAACAAACGAACGAACGAAATCAATTTCTTAAACAGTAGAACCCCAAAAACGACCAAGCAATTAATTAGTGCAGTACCAATGTCATAATGTTGTTGTGACCATGAGTTATTATAACTATTCAAATATTTATTTTGAAAAACCTCATTACTTCATTCCATCATTAATCAACCAGACACATACCTTCCAAGTACCGACCCATTACGAATTATCATGTCAACATAACTTCGGAGTGTTCTCACGCATTTTCCAATCAAGATAATGGTAAAGCCGTATGTAATCAGGGTTGTATGTGATCAGACAAGTTAATGAGAGCGGGTTAGGGGGAGGGGGCCGTAAATCTTGGGGGATGAAAGGCATCGCCCCCTATCCGGTGCAATAAGAATATAGCAGTGGTATGGAGTCCATGGCGGCAAGATACTCTTTTGCTAAGAGTAGACATAATATGAGATGTCGAGATTGTTATCGTGATAATACAGTGTGAGTCACGTTAAAGTGTACATATGAAAATAGATGAAACTAGACATATTTTTATCGACAAAAAAGAGGTCAAATTTTTTTTGAGATTTTTTTAATTTTTTTATAGACATATTTTTCTTCCAATTGCTTATTGTAAAGAAAACGTAATAACTTTTAAACTAAGCGGTATATCCTGATAAAATAAAATCAGTAATAATGGTAAATAACAGGCGATACTAAAAAAATACTTAAAATACACAAAAAAGGCCAACAAATGATAAAAAATTATACTTTTTGAAAAAAATCTGCTTTTAAATTCGTGTTTTTTTGGTTATTTGATAAATTTCTCCAAAAAATGCCCCTATAACCGGTGGTTTTTATTACTTTGTATTATTCTCTGTCGTATTACCTTCGTAAGACCAAAAATTGCATGTCTCTATCCCTATCATAACATTTGCTATGATCGTTTGAACTAAGCCACTCCGGGCGCGCCATTAATTAAATGTCATGTAATTCAACAGCCAATTATAACAAGGCGGACTGAAGCATAATCGATCATCACGGGTTCGATTCCAGTTCGAGAACGCATCTGGGCGTCCTGGAGGTTCCCTAAGGTTAATTTGACCTTAATACCAGAGTATTTTCACATTTATTTATCAAAACAGCTTAATAAATATTATTTAGGATTAAGTAATTAATAAAATCTGATATTAAGAATTGATTTATCAGCACAGCTTAAAAGTAAATTCAATATTGAAAAGCGGTTTAAAAACCCATCTCGCGATGATAATTTGCGATTATTAAACCACCAATTTATTAACGGCTTACATAGCAGCGGCTATGGATCCATAATTTGCGATAAGCTGGGATTACCACAAAACAAATCGTAATTAATTGATGCTATAGCTATTCACTCAATTAATGAAAAACAGCAGCTATGTGCTATTTATTTAAAAAGCGTCTTCTAGATACTTAAATTTTATTCAGTATTCAAGTATTATTCGGAACGGAAAATTAGTTATTACAATTATAGGAAAACAGACGTTAATTTAATTTTTAGGTTTAGGTTTAAGAATTTATTTCTCAAAAGAAATTGTACATTTCACTTAAAATGAGAAACAAGGTATTTCAATTATTTATAAAATAAATGTAGGTAGATCTTAAACTAAGGGCGCACGGATTTAATTGTTCACCAAACACAAGACATTCGTCGGTAGACGTGAAAAAAAACAAGACACATTGACCTTATTAGGTATCACTTTTTGACTCAGGTGTAGAAGGCGATCACTTGCCATCAAGACCTTTATGCGGACCTTTGAGGATGTGGAACTTTAATATCTTTTTGAAAAACGGAAAAGACTGAATTTCTTTGATGTTTTTGGGTAGCTTATTATATTGCTGAGCTCCTTCATATAATATACTTTTTTTACCATAATTAGTTCTGGAAGGTTTCAAAAGAATATTGTTGTTTTGCCTAGTTATATTTTTTCTTGATTGTCCTACTTTAGTAAATGATATTTTTGAATGAATATCTTTAGTGAGGATCTTTCGTACAAGTACACATATATTATATAGGTAGGTCTGGGATACGGACATTAATTTTGTATCTTTGTAAAGTTTTTCAGAGGAAGTATAATAGTCGTAATGGAAAAGAAGTTTAATTAGTTTGTTTTGCGTTGTTTGTAACTTTTTGAATTCAATAAGTAAATATTTCTTGGAAAATAGAAGACTGATTTTTCCGCCTACCCGTTTGCTGTTGTTAATATTTCTTGATTCAGTATTCATTAACTTAAAATTAATGGAAATTCTCATTAAAATGAATCTGTCATAATTTGGCATTCGTCTCTATAAATTCATGAGGAGGGAATTTTATAAGATACCTACTATTTTGCGGTTTGTGTAAAAGTAGCAACTTAAAAGCACATACGAGTACATAAGTAATTACCTATATGCTGCAGTACTTGAAATAAAACTTTGTTAGCCTTCGTTAAAACATAATTTTAATGGTATGCTAATGATAGGTGCATCCCAACTAATATTATAAATGCGAAAGTAACTCTGTCTGTCTGTCTGTCTGTCTGTCTGTCTGTCTGTCTGTCTGTCTGTCTGTCTGTCTGTTACGCTTTCCCGCTTAAACCTCGCAACCGATTTTGATGAAATTTGGCATAGAGATAGTTTGAGTCCCGGGAAAGAACATAGGATAGTTTTTATCCCGGTTTTTGAAACAGGGACGCGCGCGATAAAGTTTTTCTGTGACAGACAAAATTCCACGCGGGCGAAGCCGCGGGCGGAAAGCTAGTGATGTATAAAAGAAACACGATAATGTTCATTTTGCCATAATTACAATCAGTTCAATGTGACATTGTTCGAATAACGAGGCTAATGACCCATTTGTGGCTTTAAATACTTCTCAAAATAATTAAAAAGAATGTATAATGGTTAATTAATATCATTATACTACCTATACCTACAAACTATGTGGTAGATGGATTTTCATTACTAATGAACTTAAAGGTAGGGGTATTTATTACTATGTATCGTAACTACTACTTGATTTATGACAGAAAGTTGATAGATACTTAGGTGAAAGTATAAATCATCGATGAAGTATTAAAGTAACCCTTAGGTTAACTTCCCCAAACAATTGCTAAACTCTATTAATCCCAAACAATTGATAAACTCTATTAGTTCGTAGTAGTAGCAGTCTAGTTCATTAATTACTCCAGCGTCTACGGATCGACGTACAATTTTATGTCATTCAACTTTGTCTGCGAACCTTACTAAGGTTTCTAACACAGCACGTGTAGCAGTAAAAACTTAACTGCCACAGCCTTCCCCCCAAGAAAACGCTGCCGGCCTTCAATCGATAACACCATCGCGTCCCATCGAATGAAAACAACTCGATATCACAACAACGCGATCGATTGATGACTTAAAAACGGCCATCCTGGCCGCAAAAGTGTGTTTTTATGAAAAAATAAAATGTTAACTCACGAATAGTGATGTGAAACGAAAGGTTCGGCGTTGGATGCGTTACCTATAAGTGGATGTTGGTTCTCCGCATTGACACTCACAGACACAGTCCACTGGCGGTTCCTGCACAAGCACTGTGGGTTTTGGATTGTTTTTGGATTATGTAATTGCGCGGAGCGGGTGCATGGCGCGAGCGGAGCGCGCGGTGCCCGAATGCAGACAGAAATGGCGGCCGTTGCGCGCGCCGCCCGCCCTACGGCTGCGGGGCGGTTGCGTGGCCGCGACCGTAGGCGGCGCCTTTGTTCGCCTGAAGGCTTTCGTAAGTTTCATATACGCGCGCGGTTTTGAATGGAAAAATATGTTCCGTTTACACTCCGCCAGATGGCATCCTTCTAAATCCTATTTATTTCGCATATTACACGTTTGTACCCACGGTTTTCATAAGCTTATCGAGTAAAAATTCCAATAGCACTTAACGTTATGGCCTCGCTACGAATAAACGACATGTTCATGAAAGTAAGATTTTGTACTAATCTTAGCAATTCTTTCAGCAACCTACCTAACCTTCAGTCTTTGTAATCAAAACTTAAATTTTATGTTGAAATAAACTTTCTTAGTTTATTTCCATAAGAAAAATACTTGTATAAAAGTGGTTTGTTAAAAAAACACAGCAAATGTGTATATTTTACGCCAAACCACTTTTGTCTTCAATATAATCTAACATCATCGTAACTCTACAAATACGATACTAAAAAATATTTTTCTTTAGTCGCAATAACAGCACCGCCCCTTAATCTAGACAAAAGGCTCACACTTTGTAACGTTCAGCGTCGCCTTTCACCAACATCCCTCTTTCCGAAGGCAGCTTCGAATCACCCGCATACATCACTCTTTCCTCTCAAAAACCTCTCGCCATCTCGCTTACCAAACCCGAAATGTACACTGACACGTTACGTGCCCACGCGTAGTAATAAATTTACGATACGAGAAACTCTGCGTGAAAAAAATGGAGATTTTCCTGAACTAACTCTCGGTGCAGTAAGAATTTAGGATAGATCCGATTCAAGTAGCCGTAAAGATGCCAATGTGTGGAATAAGAATGTATGTGTCGCAGGCAAATTGTATGATTCCGCATTTTACAAACGGCGTCGTCAATTTACAAACGCTCGCTGTTCTATGAAATGCCGAAGGCAAATTGGCAACTCGTTCAATTGATAAAATTTCGACTATGATTGTTGCAATAGGGTGACTATCATAAAACACACGTTGGACAAATCAGACATAATTTCAGAAATCAGGTAGGTATCTATTCAAGTAAGACAAACCTAAAATACTTGCTACTCCTAAAGTAATTAAAATATTTTCGTAACAAAAACAACACTAGACTAATTTAAACTATTGACGTACTATAGGTAGGTACATAAAAATATGACATTAAGTCAGTTTCGATAGTCAGTCCTTTAGATAAGTCTTATATTTTAATTATACCAAGAAGAAGTCTAGAAGACATAACACAATATTTTTTATACCAATATATTCCGCAGCAGTCCTCCGAGCACCAGATTCCATTGTCACCTTAGCGTGTTTTACGTGCCGGATAACCTCAAAAACTATTTTATTTTTCCATAGCTCTTTCACTGCTCCTATATGTGAATCGTAAAATTTTCTTAACTCACTAAGTATAATAAATGTATTTTTTTGTGAAAAGTCCTTTGAATACGTAGAATTTGCACTGTTTTCTGTATCACAAAACCACTATCCGACGCCATTTTTCTTGTTTTGATTAGCAGCGCCTCGCGTGGTGAGAAAAAGAACTAAATACTTCAATTTGCCGCGGCATTTTGTAAACAGCGATTGAATTGGCTATCAAATGTTTTGGCATATTATAAAGTGCCAAGGCAATTTACATTTTGCCTTCGGCATTTCATAGAACAGCGAGCGTTTGTGATTTGACGACGCCGTTTGTAAAATGCGGAATCATACAATTTGCCTGCGACATATGGAACACGTTGTTTAAATGGAAATTTCGTTTCATAAGTTCTGAGCATTTATTCCACCTCGAGTACGTTTTGGCGCTAAAGGTCGCGGGTGATTTAAGAATACCTTAACACCCTTTTATATAGGGTCTATTAAGTTTATAACAGGATAAGTAGACGGTTTATTGCAAAAATAGTTCTTTATTTTCGAGAAATAGACGGTATTTTCTACACTTTACATGATAACTTTCATTTAACAGGATTTATTAAAGTCTAGAAAGTTTTTTACAAGCTTTTATTCTTGCTTATAATAAGACTAGGATCTTCTTTAACTTTAGCGTAAAATTTAGTCGTTATTTGACCACTTTCTTTTAGAAAATTGACACAGGACGTGCCTACTACGTATAGAAATAATAATTAAGTAGTTACATAATAAGACATCGAATTATTATAAGCCATTATGACTACAAATCACCCTACGGAAGACACTAAAGATTTGCACCACTCAGGGAGTTCGTAAATCTGATAGTGATAGTAAATCTATATTTATGAACGGCCGCCTCGGTTGATTGATCCCTTACATCTAGAAGCTATCCATGAATATATATTTACCAGGATGATAGAACGAGTATACAGGCTGTCCCAAAAATTGTATCAGACGGAAGTCCAGATTTAAGTGAACTTCAGCAGATCGTCGATCCACTTTAGTGGAAGGCCTTTGTCCAGCAGTGGACATTTGGCTGAAACAAACGAAGGAAGTTAAATTTGCTGAGAAACGGTTTTGGGACACGCCGTATAAGCACTAATCAATTATTGACCATCGCCCTTGGCCCGCTCGCGGCTCGAATGTCGCCCAACTCCTTCTATTCGCGGGTTCTATTCAGACTTGTGCATATTTCAATACTTTTATTTTTGTTCGCTAACCTAAGCCCGAGACAAGCCAAGGCCTGCAATTCCAAAAAATGAGGTGCAGTTAAGTTAAAATTCAGACCACGACGTCTACGAGAGTAAAATAAACTGTATTTGGTGCAAAATGTTATCTAAGTATATTATGTGAAATACAGTTTCTCCCAGGAAGACCGTCTTATTACAGGTGTTAATGGTGTTAACTTAATTTATCTATATTGAACACTAGCTGACCCGGCGAACTTTGTTCCGCCTTAATGGCAATAAATAAGCAGACTTTTTTTTATTTTGAACGGGATAAAAAGTATCCTATGTCCTTCTCCTGGCTCTAAACTACCTCCCTGACAATTTTCAGCTAAATCGGTTCAGCCGTTCTTGAGTTATAAGTGGTGTAACTAACACGACTTTCTTTTTGAGACTCACTGCCGTATTTCAATTGTTTACTCAGTCAGCGATATTTTTTCACCAATCAGTCATGATGAGTAAAGTTAGCTACGTCTCATGCGACAACTTTAAAGTTACGCGGTGTTTTTCATACACTTCGACGTTGTTATACGAAATATTGTGTGTTGAGTGTAACATCACACGATATCACGCGACAAGCGCTACAAAACACTAGTAGAATCAACGCATACAATATTTACACATGCAAGCAATATTTTGAAGTTAAATGTTTAGGTCATGAAATGGTTACAGTACAGTCTTCAATATAGGAACCGTAAAAATATGTAAAGCCAGCAAAAAATAGTGTTTAAAGATAAGAAATAGAAGATCTAGTACGCGTCTACTCTATTTACTTACTCGTACCTACACTAAACCTTGATTTTACTTTACATAAATGTACCGTGAAAATAACTTTATCGTGAGCAGCATTTGCCTTTGACTCTTTTTCTCTCTACGTCGTAATAAGTAGGTACTTACGGATTAGCAAGGATTATCCTGTCTTTTGCTCCCACACGTTCTGTCTGCGTGCGATTTGATTTATTACCTTACTGGATTGCGTTAGATCTCGCTAAACGGTAATCTGTTTCGTTGGGTTTTATTTGGATTATTGAGACAATGTTTATTTTTGGGTCTCTTTACTTGGGAACTAAGCACCTATCTACATACATATAATAAACAAAACAATGTCAGGTTTATTCGACTTGAGAACGGCTGGATCGATTTTCATGGTTTGCATTAGAAAATTCACGAAAAAATAAAAGTAAAATCATTTTCCCATACAAAATGTTGAAATGAAAAGGACCGCTAGGTAGACACAAATGACATCCACATTCAAACTTAATAACGTTATCCACTACTAATCCCATTTAATTCGATAAATGATGATAAATCAAAGTTACAAATTACAACTAGGTACTTACTTCTTTCGCAATTTTGCTCGTCCTCGATAACTTTCCTCTGGATGTAAGACACTCTGAGCAACAACATAGTCACTATAAAAATATCACTCACACACACTTGAAACTCACTATTTAGTTTTCTCTTCATCAGGATCTTGATCACTATAATACAAGCCTACAAATAAATCAAAATTACGGTTTTACAAAAGCTAGAGAAAAATCTTTTTGTCATTCTTATTGCACTTAACCGTCGAGAAAATATTGTGGGTAGGTGAAGACAAACGGATTATCATCTGACCACAGACTAAATACACGATATCTGTGGGTTATATTTTTTTTTTTGGCTTCCGTAAAAAATCCTCATTTTAAGTGATTTATATTTCTGATAAATATTAATAAAACTCACGTCATTATTCAATGCATTTAATTTGTCTCCTTCTAACTAGATTTTTAGATGGAAATCGATTTTTTTGTTTTCTTCCAGTTTCTGAGACCGAACGTTCGTTTAACGCTCTCCTGGGACTGATTAATCTCCACTGGTTGGGTTTTTATAGGTCAAAGCAATTTATATTTGGTTATTATTTTTATATTGTTTTCCTATAACCAAATCATTTTATTTATTTAACGCGATGGCAGAATAGACTTGTTCAAGGCCTCAAAACTGATAAAAAAATAGTGACATTAAATCTGACATTGACATGAATACTTTGGTCTTGCTGCTTTTGCATTTTGCTACTTTCAGCTACTTTTACAAAAAATTATAAATATTATGAACTTCATTTGAGATGACTTCTCAATACAAGAAGTTTACTAGGTTAATAGCAAAGTGGCCTGTGGATAATACCAAAGGAGAAAGGTAAAAATCATCATAATAATAACATAACCTCTAAGACTTTAAAAACTGATCTATTCTTGTATTTTATGAAGTTTCCTTTGATTCTGATTTACAGGGACCTCGGAAAATTTATCAGAGATAAAGTAAAAGCTGCGTTTGAATCATCAGATAAACAGAAACTTGATTCTGAGCTTTGCAGTCGCCAATACAATTCGTTGAATAAACTTGCAGATAACCATTACAAAAACAAATATAAACGCACACGAACCAGTACTGCAACAGGTCTAAGTGCTGAAGAGTGTAATTTAATCCTATCCGACGAAGTATTAACGTACTTAAAGGAAGAAAACAAAGGTTTCTTTAGCAAACTTTTGAAGAAAGATCAAAAATAATGTTGCGACACATAACGCGACTATACTTTCGTAGCACACCGAGTATAGCTCGTCGATGTAGTACAGAATCAGTAAAATACAAAGACCACACACCTGTTATGTTGGATGAAGTTATAAAGCACCTTGACCCACAAGATAATGAAGTGTACATTGATATGACCTTTGGTGCTGGTGGACACACAAAAAGGATACTTGAGTCAGCAAACTGTAGAGTTATAGCCTTGGACAGAGATCCAATCGCCCATGAGAAAGCAAAGCAACTAGCATCTGAATATCCTAACAGAGTCACTCCATTACTTGGTAAGTTTAGTGAGCTACCAACACTGTTAAAAAATGAAGGCTATGGTCAATCAAGTATAGATGGAATACTATTCGATTTCGGTTGTTCTTCCATGCAATTAGATACAGGAGAGAGGGGGTTTTCAATAAGTAAAAATGGTTATTTAGACATGAGAATGGATGCTGGAAGAGATCCTGACCAGATCACAGCGAGAGAAGTGTTAGCAACAGCGAATGAGCAAGAGCTATACAAAATCTTCAAAGTGTATGGGGAAGAGAAGAAAGCTGCAAAAATTGCCCAAACGATCATCCAGGCTAGGTATATGATAAAGAATATTGATACGACCAAAGAGTTGGTAGATGTGGTCAATTCCTGCACTCCAGATGAAGTGAGATTAGATAAGCTTCAAAGACCACAATCAAATGCAACCAAAGTCTTCCAAGCATTACGCATTTTTGTCAACAATGAGTTGAATGAACTGAACTATGGCATGGTACTTGCTAAATATTACTTGAAACTTAGCGGGAGGCTTGTTACTATTTGCTTTCACTCTTTAGAAGATACGATTGTAAAACGCCATATCGCTGGAAATATTATAAATGAAGTAGCAAATCCTGTGCCTCTAAAGTATCTCAATCCAACGTTGGTACAGAATCAGGAAACTATAGATCAATTCTTGGATACCCCTTGGAAGTCCATGACAAAACATGTGGAGGTACCAACTGAAGATGAAGTAGACCGTAACCCCAGAAGTAGAAGTGCAAGATTAAGAGCTGCAATCAAAGTGAAATAAATCGGCTTGAATATTTCAAAAATGTAGATGTTCCCTGATACTTTTAACTTATTTTATTGTAAAAATATATAAATATTAGTTAGTATTGTATCCTTTCTTTTATTTATTTGTTTATTTCAAGATAATGGATATTGGTAATTGAGCTGAGAGTCCCAATCCCAATGAAAGAAGAAAATCTGTTTTATTTACCATACTTATTGCAAAGGTTATTGAAAGAAAACAATGTATAGTATGCATAGTTAAATTTATTGATCCTCTTATTATTGAAAATGGTAACTAATACTAATTTACTCTATGGATCCCTATGCTTATACTGACATTTTCAGCCCTCCTGCGCGGCAAAAATAATATCTGTAGGTAGCCATACATTTTCATTACTGTGTAATGAGACGAAGCTTACCTACATTTTGTCTCCCCTGAAAGTAGCTAACTACTAAATCACGTAAAGGTATACATTTATACAATGAATAACGCTATAGACATTTCGAGACCTAAAATGCTTTTGTTTTTGCAAAGAAATTGATAATACAGACTAGATAAATATGACCATAATCAATATCAAATTTTACAGCATAGTAGAATTCTAATAAAATACCCTCAAAATATAAGTAAAGTAAGGTATAACATTAAAATAATTTCAAAACGAATACATTTAACTAAGGTTTTTATTCGTCTGATAAAAAAATATCATTTGAGTAGGATTACAAGGTAGGAATTAAATATAATAAGTATACGTAGCAAGTTGGCAAATAATAACTTTTTACTCAACCATAGTGTCAATTATATGCTCAACCTACATCAAATAAACCCTAACTGCAAAAATATGCATACATTTTTTATTTTCTACTTTAATAAGTTGAATACATATCTTTGCACCTAAGATAGACTTACTGTTCAACTAATTTATGGAAGATACTGTGATTACCTATGTCATTTCTAAGGAAGATTTTTATCATTAGGGAAAGACTTATCCATATCTCCCTGCCTCCCAACTCTTCTGAACAATCCTGCCAGGAAGGCTCAGTTAAACAGTAGGCCTATAGACCAACTACATTACAACAATTCTGATTTCTATCCCTCTGTCTAATACTACGAACAACATTAACCAAACAATATCTTATTGTGTTGATTTCCTGAAAATACTATTTACACAACATTAAATATATCATTAACTGAAGTATTTAAAATAAATAAACTTTTCAACCATCTTCAGCGATATAATTCAGTTTCCATACATAAATAATGGGTTCAGTCAGAGCAAGCTAGTTGCTTGGAAATGCCATAATAAAAAAACTTATACATCAATTAAAAAGCATATACCCACTAGTTGGAATGTGGCCAAAGGTACTGGTAGCGTATTACGCACAAATGACATGGCAGTGGAAAAACAAACATTTCATAGCATGACTATAATCTAATAATAACTCATGGAAAATAAAATAAAACTGAAAATACATTATGCATAAACTGCCGACTTTCTCTTTAGCAATATCTTAATCCAGTGATAAGAATAATGACATCATGTTAATGCAATATCCATTAAAATATTGTGGCTATCAATCCTAAACACACTACTAAGGCCTGCAAACTCCTAAATATACATAGATGCCACAATATTTTGTTTGGTAACTAATCTAGAAGCCATTTTGTTTTGAGTCAAAATCATAGGACCACACGGAGTTACAAACATACCCAGTAATACACAGTTAAAAATATCCGATTTATTTAATAATTTTTTGAACTGTCTGATATGCCAGGAGTAGAAGAATATTATTTTAGGAATAATTTAAGTAGGTGATTGATTCATATTATTAAGATGGCTAAGCTAAGCTGTTCTGAAGTAAATAAGAACTTTATGTTTAGAAATTCAATGGTGGGCAACAAGGGACATATTCCCCATGACTTTATTGAACTGGCTAGGCTTGGATGGATAATTCAATAATCCTTGTATAGCACAATGAGATGGAGTTGTTTACTTTCCATGTCATTTCATCTGTATTTTCATAAACAATTAGCCAGTTTTGTGTTGACAAGCCTTTAGGTAAACACGAATTTGAATGAGGCTGGTGATACAATCAGTAATGCAAATCGGCATTACACATCAAGCATTGAGTGACATTCAAAGGCGTTGAGGTCATCATGGGCGTATTAAAGAGGGGCAGCTTCCCCTTTGTAAATACCACAACCCGGCAGCATACCTGTGTCTAATGCCCGTTTTCACCATCAATCCCAAATTTTTAGGTGACCCCTATAGTAACAAATAACAGGAATTTTGTTGTCATAGGGGGATTGATGGTGAAAACGGGCGTAAGCCTGGGAGAGCCAGACCTTAAAAATTTTGCTCTCTCCTAATTTCAAAATCACTCTCCCCTCTCCTGGGCCAGACTGGTCCCCCCCCTGTCCATATTATTCCCCTGGCTTAGAAGCTGGCTTACGCCCATTGGTATTGTAGGTGCATCTTTTAATGATGGGTCTGATCTGGGTCATACTGCCCCCCCTCCCCTCGTCCAGCCTACTTTCCCTTGTCCATACTATTCCCTTAGCTTAGAAGTTGGGCACGCCCATTGTTGATGCATCCCACGATAATAACTCCTCGTGTATAATCACTAAACGCACTGCACTGTACACTACACTTTGGTCCGCTTGTCTTCGTGTTATGTCCTGTTGACGGACGACAGCACGTTGGCCTTAGCTCGGTCGGTGGCGGCGGCGGCGGCGTCGCGCATTTCCTTGAGAGTGTGACTGACGGGCGCCAAGCTGTGCTGGGAAGCTGGACGCGGGAACATGCTGTTTAGGACGTGGTTGAAACCGTTCACCTGGAAGAACAAATGTTTTAGTTCCTATACAGCTTTATTTCTCTCTTTCTGCAGGAATTTGATCCTTAATTTCGTTCGTTCGTTTCAGCCAAATGACGTCCACTGCTGGACAAAGGCTTTCCATAATGAACGGTCGTTGCCCGCATCTATCCACCTCCCGCGACCTTCACCAGGTCTTGCAGGAGAACCAAAGTGACATAGCCTGCAGAATCGCTAAAATCAAGTGGCAGTGGGTGGGGCACATAGGTCATATAGCTGATGGCTGCTGGAGCAGGAAAGTTCTTGAGTGGCGACCACGCGCCGGAAGACGTAGCGTGGGCAGGCCTCCTCTCACTGGGTGGACCGACGATCTAGATCCTTAATTTAGACGGTCCTAAATTCCTATATTTTTCTGATTTCAGTTGACTGTAAAATTCAACTTATTATAGCTATAAAATCAATTAAATAATTTAAATATGTCCACAGAGTTGGCGAAATAAAAAGTGACGTTTGTCGTTTTGGAAGAAAGATGAGAATTAAATTGATAGGAACAATAACAGAAAAAATATTCTGCTAAGTGTTTATTTTGTTCATACTTCGAAATTCCTACTAACCCAATATTCAGTAAACAATGATAACAACAATCATACCTACCTCTTAATGACGTTGGCCATTGAAATAATCAGTGGGTTATTCACGTCAGATATCTTCACTGAGCTAAGTACTATACTTTCACTATCTTATCAGCAAAATGCAAATTCAATATTTTTATTTACAAAACACAAAGCCTCATAGTATTTTATCTGATTTTTACTTCTACAACATTACATAAATATAGACAAGTACACGAGTCTTTGACCAAGCTAATGCATTGCTCCCCATTATTTAGATGAAGGACTCTCCCTAAAAAGCTCAGTTACTTAATCATAAACAATGCTGATTCAAAATGTAATCCTATAACTCGAAACTTCAGCTTGGATCCACAATATCAAATCACGTCTTAGCAGCCATTTTAAATAATCTTCCAATTTAGACGTTTCGTGTCGGACGTTTGCCGTTACTTTGGACGTGGACCGCACACGGTAAATTTTATGCCAACTGTATCGGAATAAAATTGGCAATTACCAATAGTTAGTGCCCTTAAGTATATTATGCTTCTTACCATCTGGTTGCAGTTCTTCCTGAACCTTTCGACGCCGAATGCTCGGATAGCTCGCGAGAATCCGAACACCTGCGAGTCGATCCAGGCCGAGCGCCGCGCCACCGTCTGGCCCGGGCCTGCCGAGCGGTATTCTACGCGCTCCACCACGCTCTGGGAAACGAATTACGAGTGTTTTTGAAACAATATGGGTATTGGTATGGTTGCCATCTCTAAACTTGGCCAACCAGCCCCATAGACAAAATGCACTTTTTGATCGAATCGAAAATCGAATCCGTCAAAACAACATAAAAAAGGCTTTTCGACCACTTTTCGCTGGTTTGCAATTAAAATGTGCACTTTGTCTATAGACCCTCTGGACAAGACGCGTGAAATCAACGGATTTTGGAACACTTGCACACACTTTAGTTGCGTCGCCCGACATCGGTCAAGTCTTGAAATTTTGAAACCCGAAAAATAAATAAAACCCTAACTAAACCGACGATCCCCGGACCCCTCTAAACTAGGACAAATCCAGAGAAACCTAATAGGCGTGATAACTCCAGCTAAACTAATAAAGGGTGATAAAAAAAGGATTCTACTGCTCAAAAACAACACGTTAGCCAAGATAATAAAGTTAACATTTTCCAAAAAACCTTTCCATTCATATTGGGCGTTAAACTTGTACAGGAGAGAAACCCTGAAGCGTGAACATTATTAAAAAAACATATCCCTCCTTCTGGCGCAGTCGGGTAAACAGGCCGCCATTAATTCATTTTCTTTTTAATGCTCAATGGTGCGTATTTATAGCACAATGCAAATGGTGAGTCGTCGAAGTCAATAAAAGGGCGAACTAATCAAATCTGACAATAATACAAGAAGTTAGGAGTTATGGAGATACAAGTGAAGCACTAAGTGGAATTTATTTATAGCTCACAGGATGGCGTGGGTCTAGCTAGTCAGACATTAGGGTTCTAGAAAGGTCTTTACTGTATTAAGAATTGATGTACCATGAATGGAATGGAATTTTTTAGTCAATCCACTCGCGATATATTTTTTGAAGTACTGAAATTGATTTAAAATACTTTTCATCTGGTAAACAGATGGGTGCAGATCGTTTCTAAAACATAATAAGTAGGTACTGTATTGTGTGTGATTCTGTGTATAACGTGTGCCTAACCCTGCCTAAACACAACAGCAATATTTCGTGTACCATTCAAATGTTTCGTGCCGTGACGAGGTTGCATGCGATGGAATCGCTAATTAGACAATAAATTAAAACAGCATGCTAAGCTGGAAAACTTTAGAAACTAATCGATTTCGTAATAACGATTTGATAAGCAATTCTTAATAGATGTTTCTAGTTAAGAAATCCTCACCTTAAGGAAAATTTAAACAATATTTGTATCAAAATAACAATAAATAATAATGCTTACCATAACTTTAGTGTATCCCAAATTCCTGGTGTATGTCACCAGAACCTTCTGCTTTGGATCCACAACACTCTCCTCAATGATCTTGACAGACTTAGCATTGAAGAATCTACAATCAACAAAAAATGAATGTGAGATGCATCATACTTTAAATGATGAATATGGTGCAATTTTAACAAAATTTTACATGCCAAATCTTGGCAAAACATGTTGACTGACACATTTCTAAAACTGTAAGACCAACTCATATTGCTTTGTAATGTTTTCACACGTTTATGTAAATATTAATTTCCTGTAAATATCTATTTAATATCTTCTTTACATAACACATATTTACAAAGAGATATGCATTGCTTATACCTAAACCTTAAACCTACAGTATGAATATTGAAAAATATTGTGTTATTTCATGTGTCATTCCATCTGATTCATCAGAATTATTCCTTTAAAAATAACAGGGTAAACAAAAACAAAATGAACCAGATAAAAAAAATTACACACATGATGATGTTAATAAGTTCTAAGAATGATTATCCACTCACTTATCAATATTGATAAATAAAAGTTGTATAACTTTATTACATACATTTTTATCTTTGAATTTATTTAATCAGCCACTTGAGTTTACACTCCCCTCACCCCCCATAGTTTTGTATATTGGAACTAAGTTTCATTGTTTTTAAATAATCTAGGTTCTAGAATATAACAAAATAAATAATGACATCATCTGCTTAAAACTGCTAATATTTAAAATCACCTCTATGACAATATCTTAACCGCTTGAGTCCCTGACGGCATTAATTAATGTCATAACAATTGATTATCTATTGTGTCTAGATTCGCGGGCCTTGAAGGATTAAGGATAAAAGGCTTATGGATGGGGGCCTTGTATTTCTAAAAATATCAAACTAAGTGAGAAAATCTAATCAATCACTAGCCCCATCATCTTCTATATTCAGTGCTTTCATCATGAAAACAAGAAACAAACACATTTACTGTAGAATAATGAATTGATACATACCTCTCACCCCACTTAGGGACCCTGTTGGTCTTGGTAAGGAGCCGCTTCGTGTATAGGCAGCCATCTTTCACTTGTCTGCTCCATGTGTCCTCAGATAATACATGGGTGCTAGAAGGAAAAAACAAAGTAATACTATTTGCTTTTTTATTTATTTATTTATACTTTTGCCCATAAAACTGTACAGTGGCGAACTAAATGCCAAGTGGCATTCTCTGCCAGTGAACCACAGGTCTAGTAAAGAGATTAAGGCAGTGCAATAAATATGACGGCTTTTCCTGTTACTCTTTGAAAACAAAACAATGAGTGTTTTTTCATGACTTATGGAGAAACAATTTTAGACTAATTTAATGCTAAAATAAATAAAATGTTGATGCGAATGTGATGACTCAGAAAAATCATCCAGTTTTAACATTAAGTTGTTAATCATGTTTACAATGTACAGCCATATTTACAAGTTTTCAAGTAATAAAGTAGTAGTGATAGTAAACTGACAAGGTAAATAAGATTTTTTATTAACAAAGTTAGTAAACAAACAAGGGTCAAGGTGACTTTATAATTTCAAGGTTGCAATAGGCCTCAACAAAACAAGGAAAGGTCCAATTTTGCAAGGCCCATCTTTGTTATTTGTATGTAAAGTTGAATGTTCTCACCTCTGAGGGTTGGGGTACCTCTTCCAATACCCACAGGCCACTTGGTCCCAACTGAAGTTAAATGTTGCAGTATTTTCGTAATATCTTGCCATTTTTATTCACTTTTGTTACCTTATTACTGGAATGATATTCAGGAGGGCTAAAATCAACAGGACACCATGCTCGATGCTTGCAAAAAAACCTGCCGAACCACGGAAACTGTTATTGCGATCGAATAACAATTTTGACATGTACCTAAGTATGTATTCTATGAGTAGGTAATATCGGATTACATAAACTAAAAAGTAGGTCACAGTTTGACTTTGTATCAACTAATTAAAAGTTATGAGTCTGGCAAGCGTGGGCACATAGGCTTTTGTGATGATCGTCACGTATTCGTTAGGTAAGGCATGAAGTAAACACCGAGTGAACAACTCTAATTTGAACTTGAAGGACAAACTCGGTTATTCGATATGGGTTATTGATGGTGACGCTAATGACTATAATGCAACACGGCAATTAATCACAGCAGATCACATGATCGAACTACATACAAAAAACACATGTTCACACAGTAAATTATGAAAAAATATTAACCTACGACTACGCCGGAGGCACTTTTTAAATTGCAATTTATTGCTTCACGAACCAATGCTGCCACTTTGTTAAGGCCACCGATAGTCTCCTCAGGGCCTATTTTACACGAGAGGGAATCGTTTCGGCCGCGAAGCACATGTTATCATTCATATTTTGAGGTGTTTTTGATAAAAATTTTGATAACCATTGACAGATAAACCTTCGAGACAAAGTCCACGGACGTCAACAACCACAGATTAGACAGAATTCAGCCAGCAAAGACAAAATTCCGGAAGTCGTTTTTTTCTTAATTTAGATTCATAGACAACAACACCAATAAGTCGTAGCAATAACTGTTGCATTACAAGATGGCAATGTGCCAACCGCGTAAGCCACAGACATATTTGTGGCGTGAGAAATAAAAAGTAAAAAACATTTTGGCGTCAATTTTCAAAAACATCTCAAATTTTGTCTCAAATTCTTTGCTTTTCTCTCATTATTTTTTCTTCTTCGTACAAAAATGAGTGTTCTCAAAGAATTTATGCAAAGTTTTAGAAAATCATCGTTTAAAGAAGTTTTTATTATATTGAATGTTGATATATTTCCTCAAGTTACAAATTACATAAACCTGATAGAAAATATAAAGTTCGAAGATGGCTCTTACCATGCATATTTCGGAGAGGTTAAAAAAGTGATCAATGGCTTTCTCACTTATTATAAATTCGTTATAGACGACGTTATACAGGAAGCCGACAAATGCACAAATGTTATGAATCGCAACGAACTGTTGGTGCTAATAGATAGAACTATTGATATCCACCAGTCTCGACATATTTTTTTTGGAAGAGAATATTTACCTGTTCATACTGCAGCTGAAAAACAGTCGTATGAAGAAATGGAACAACTGTTTCAGCAGTACATGGAAAAGCTGCTGGAATTAAAAAACAATATAGAAAGACTGGACAAACAGGAAAAAGTTGATGATTTCATTAAGGATCATTTTAAAATGTCCATCAAAGGGACTCATGAACTATTTGAGCTGACGCACACTTATTTGGCACTGTTGCTAGCTGACCGAGTGAGAATTTCATACATTAATTTCTACTGAATAAGTTGAATAGGTCTTTTGTCTTTGAATTTTTTCAAGCGGCATGCTTAGCTGAACCTTCTAATATTAGGAGTTTCAAAAACCGCACTGTTCGTAACGATGTCGTCTGGCGTACCTACCTACCTTCATAAACCTAACCGCTTCTTATTGCCTAGTTTTTCAATTCTGGTGAATTAAGCGAGGCAACAAGAGGACTGCTAGGAAGAATGGTTTCTTTCTATTAAAAACAAGTAGTGGTAACATAATACATTTTCCTGCTGGCCCTTCTTGAAACTAGTACCATTAATACCAGATCAACCAAATCCGCGTGAGCGTCGAAGAGATCCACTTACGAGCGCGGAACAACCTGCGCAAGATACAAGCGGAGTGCGGCGAGAAACTGAACGCTTTGTTGCAGCAGCTGTATGATAGGAACAAGAGCCTGCTGCAAGTCAACCGCCAGCACCGCAAGTGTTCCGTCGCCGTTGCTGAAGTACTGTGTTTGTTCCTTTATCCGCTAGTTCTACGGCTATTGCCTTTCCTTGAATAAACTCAGCATAGTAAACAGCTCAATATAACAAGTGCAACTAAGGGATCCTCATAATTCTTAGTTATGCTCTAATGTCGCACTTAAGCCAGTTTTCTTCTTTCGTTTTAACCACTGCTGGACAAAGGCCTCTCCCCCTAAGGATTTCCACAACGAACGATCCTGCCTTGCCCATATTGAGGAGTTTTCTGTGACCTTCACTAAATCGTCAATCCACAGAGTCGGCCGCCTACTAAACCAAACTTCGGCCCGTGATCGTCACCTTTTTCTGCCCCACGGCCGTCAGTTCTACGAGTAAACCCGCAGAATTTCCTACGTAGCAGTGGCGAAGCACATAATATAAGGGAAGCTCGTAGAAGAGTTCTATAAAAACTTGCCACGTTTAACATATTTCGATCTAACCCTTATAAAATGAGTCTAACCTACCTCCAGGCAAGTCGCAGTATAGACCGCATCCGCTCCAAGATCGAAGAGTATTCCTATGACCCGCCCATCTCCCGGCTGGAAGAAGAAGTCGCGTACTGGGAGGACCGCGTCAACGAGTTCCACCAGATTGCGGGGAAACTGGTGATGCTTAAGAAGGAGCAAGCAGACGTCATAAAGCAGGAAGAGATCTATCAATCTATGAAGTATGTTCCACGAATAAAACATTGATGATGATAGCATCTGCATCATTCGCGTAGAATTCTTAGAGCGCTTTCATATTTAAGCGACTTAGCAGCGCGACAAACGCGCTGCCGATAGGTATATGACTATGACAGCGGATGTCTGCCTTCACATTATAAAAATGCTGCTGTCGCGCTTCTTACGCCCTAATGTGAAAGCGGCCTTAGAACTTAGATTCATATCCATGGACTTCCTTATTCCAGAACAACTGAGCTTCCCGGATCGAAACGTATTTGCTGGTGGACCATGGGCAAAAACTTCGCACAAAGAAAGGAATACCTAAAAGATAGAATCTTGGAGGCTGCCAGACCTTTGATGTCTTATTTCTCTATTCGAGGTATTTCAAGATAGTTTTAGCTCTCAAATAACGTTCTACTTACTTCGCTAATGACGCTTTTCCAAATCAAAAACTTAGAACTTACTCGCGCATTTTTAATACGGTTCCTATTTCAGTTTGGAACTAAAGTACTACCTACTTGCCTTCTATCCCTAGATCTGCTCCAGATTTTATCATTTTTCAAACCTCGTAGGAACCGACCGCCTGTTTTACACGGACAACATCGGCTCTTATTACGTGGACGAGTACAACCACCAAGTCTACGTGTTTGATTACGGGATGGGAATTTACCATCTCAACTGCGAAGGCGATTTCAGAGAGGTATTTACTTTTTCAATCACTTCTTTAAGCAAGTGAAACTGTGTCTTATACCCTGGAAAATTTGACTCACAGCTAAGATTAAGTACATTACTTACCTAAGTTACCTACTGTCTTTTCGTCCAAAGACTATAAAGGATCCCTGTTTTCGTGTAGGTATAACCTGGATTTGTCCCATTAATGGGACCACGAGGGAGAACTGTTTCTTATAGTCTCGTGAGTGGAAGAGCTAGTTAGGTGATGGAAGATAAGACCCAATCATTACCTAAGTGCAGACGGCACATCAAGCTTAACACTGTAGCATCTTATGTAGTCGCAATAGGTGCTATTTTACAACAAATATAGTCTGATATCCTGTACATCCCAGGTGTCAGACAGAGACGTCCACTACTTCGACACTCGCGGCCGCTACGTCCTTGACTCCGAAGGGCAGAAGGTTTACCAATGTGCGCCCTGCACTAGTACCTACAAACTGTGCAGCTCTGATCTCCTGAAGAAGACCACGAAGGACTGCGGACACTCGGAGAAGATGAACAAGAAGTGCCGGATGACTATTAAAGACCCGAGGAGCGGCGAGATACTGCCTGATGTGGAGAATGTTGATATCAAAAGTGAGTGGAAAAAATGTTATTTTCACACGCCAAGAAAATATAGAAATCCCACCTTTAGGCCACCGAGGAAGCAGAAAGGAAAAATGTTGGACAGTCAAATGTTTCTATAGAATTTGACAGCAGTGGCGGCGCGGCGCAAAACAGCTGTGCGGTGCGGAGATTCGTTATTCAACATACTTTTCTGCTTAGCTCCGCTTCGGTGGACACAGGGCCATTCAATTTTCATGGCAATTTTGTTATGCATGGTGGCTCCCATTTGTATTAATTTCCCCAAGCTTGCATTGCATATACTTCGCTGTAGAAACTTAAATATGTGACAAAGCCACTAAAACTTTTAATCATCATCATAAATGACTGCATTGCAGGAGCTAGCCTCTCTAATTTTAGCAGACGTAATCGGAGGATGTTACTGCCATGGCCAAACAGGTTGGGGTGATCCACCATTTTCGTATAGTATTTGTCGCTTGTTGTTACAATATTCACGGGAAGAGTGGGAGTTATCCTATTCTACTTTGCTGAAACCATAAGCCTTTCTTCATCATCATTTCAGTAACATGACGTCCACTGCTGAACATAGGCGTCCAGCGCCTTCCAGCGCCTTTATAAGGTCGTCGGTCCACCTTGTGAGTGTACCGGAAAACGCAACTCATACTTATTAAGCCTTTATTCTAGGTTCCCTTGACTCTGAAGTGGTGCGTTACCTCTGGGACAGCTTCGGGCATGTACTACCGTTCGCCCTGCACGACGTGGGACGCGATCGCACTAAGAACCCCATACAGCATCTGGCGCATAAGCTGCTGTTTCACAAGTAAATAAACAATTTGTTGACATCTAACTTACCCCAATATAGGTAGTGGGTAGCCTTTGACATCTGAAACTCAAAAATAACAAAGTTAATTAGTATTGAAAGAAAATAAATTACCGACCTTAAAATTTAAACTCTATTTTTTTAGGTATAATAAAACAATTTCTGAACTCGATAAAAAGAAGAAAGAAGCCCAAGATTATCGCGCCAAAATATTCCAGGACAAAAAAGATGTACGTAAAAAACTTACCTCTTATTATTTTGACTCTCGGGCATTGCGACAGATTATTTTTCATATTCGTGTATACTTAGTTGAGAAATTATTTGAGGACCAATAACTGTGCCTTGCCTTCGGTAGACATATAAAAATATAGCAATTTCTTCTTTCGAACTTCTATAAAATAGTTCTTCGCGTTTGCTATGGTATTAACAAGTGAGATTTTTTATTCTCCAATACTTTTGATTATAACATTAGAAACTGCTCCACTTCTTACTGTGCCTCAAAACTTATTACAGAAAGCAATCGCGGCCAGCAAGGCGTGGAAGGCCAAGCAAGTGCCACGCAGCAAGCCTGAGGAGTCCTACGACGACTCCGACCAAAGGGCCCACGACGCGCAGGCGACGACGCAGATATTCCTCACCTCTTTGCAGTATATGAACTACGACTGACTTGAATTGGGATTTTTACAGGCTTATTTTAATATTTGTACAATGTTGCGTTAATAAATATTACTTATTTAAATAACACCAGTTTGATTTTATTAAATTTTATAGATATCCGGCTCGAAGGACCACAAAAATGTCTACTTTAAAACACCATCAAGTATTGTAAATATTTATTCTTACACACCTAAAATCTCTGAACTACCGGCCCAAATTGGGGATGCTTGAATATTTGACGGGATTTTAAATCCCGTCAAATTGTGTACTTTCCATTAGGATTGACACTGCTCTCAAAAAATACATCCCCAAGTGTTTAAAAAGGGTGCCCAACCCGAATCCATGAATAATAAATACTTTTTTCACATTTTTTCCAGCAATCATGTGCTTGATATAATTCTTCCAAATGCACTGACTCCGGATTTTATATAAATAAAGTCAGGTGAACAAGGGCTCATGTGATTCAAGTTGAGCACCCTTTTATTTCTATATTTTCTAGAACATCGAAAGCCCTGTACGAACTAACAACGTACAACCATCATTGGTTGCTACAACTTGTTTTGTTTTATGTAAACTATTATGAAAATGTTAGTATGTATAAAGTGACTGTAATGTGATATTCAGCAGCAAATAAATCATTTTTAATTATTGATGTGATACGAGTAAGTTATAGACTGCTCTAACTGTTTGATACTTGCTTGTGATCATCAAGGTAAGCTTTAAAAATAATTTTGAAAGCTAAAACCCAATGTTAGCAACTTAATAGATAACTGAAACCCTAGATAAAGTAGACAGATATTACTGTGACAGATTTCTAAATTTGTCTAAGGGGGAAGGGCAATTAGTTTCATCGATTTATATTAAAAGGAACGAAAAAACAATAAAATCAACGTTAGTAAAGGTACAGGTATTTATTGTTCAAGCGTCTACTGGATAATAACGAGACACACTGTAAGACGACGTCGACTTCCGACCGAAAGCAAAATTATAATAAAAAACAACCTACATTATTATTCTGGTGGATATAAAATGATTCCAATTAAACCCACTGCCAGTATTTGGTACATAAACAAAAACGAACTATCTAAACTAAACCTAAATAGCACTATGTATGAAACAAATCAATTTGTAAAAAGCAGTGTTGCCAGAATTACAAATAAATAGATAATAGTTTGCTCTGCAATGGGTCAGACAATATTTTAAACTGAAATGGTGATATCCAATCTGACACTTGGTATATTTTAATAATTAAAATGGATTAAACCGATGAGATGAAATACTATGACACAGATGTTTTATTCTACATGCATATCGTATATCTGTAATGGGTTCTATCGTAATACAATAATATTATATCACTTTAGATATTACCTAGAGCTTACTTAATTTTACAAAGCCAATAAATGTCGCAGTATAAAAAAGAAAATCTTTCAAATAGTAGAAAACATCTCCTGTCATAGTCAAGATAATATTATTGTTGGGAAAACAACACTATAGATTTAACTTTGGAAATGAAGACTACAATATTATAATAGGTGAAGTTATTTTCCGCATATACACTAATTCGCTCGAACAGGTACAAAAAGTATATATTTCTTTTTATTCACTCTTATATACAAGAGGAAAGGGGCCAACCATAAAACGTGTACGATTTTACAGTAAAATTACTAAGAAAAAGTCATTGTCTTGCCCCATGTTGTTTTAAAATGTTACGACACAAATTAAAATGCAAGTACTTTTATCGTGAGTTTGATGTTTTCAATATACGCCACGTTTGATGGTCGGCCCGTAAATAAAGTCTTTGTCATAAAGTAAGATTGTTATTAGTTCTTATAAATTTGGTAACAATAGTGCTAATATGATATATTGGATTTCAGACTACTCGATAACTTTGTACGGTTATAGTACAACTCCCTAAAACAATTTAGATTTCCGAACACTGCTCGACATCAGTACTCACTAATACCGAAGCAAATTAAAAGCTAATTTCTAACAAAATTATCAAAACAAAAATAGCTCGAAATTAAAATTTTAGAAGCGAAAATTAAACCTACTCATTTCATAACACGAAAAATTAATAATTTTGAACATTAAAAAATCTTCACGGGTATCCAAATCCCATTAAAATGTTTTCTGTGTAGTTTACAAATATAAGTTTACAGTTACTGGTGTCTTTCAGAATTTGGCAACTGAACTTACACTTGTACATTTATTAGAATTACAGCTATTAATGTTGTAGTATAGAAATATGTACAAAAAGAAACTACGAATATAATTGAGAACTCTGTCAATATCATGGAATATAACCGATGTATTTTATTAGGCTTTTACGTGAAAACGATGAACATTTTAGATACCAATGTCAAGATTTACTCGATAGTAACACTAATGCGACTGGCCACTTCGAATCCATGGACTTGAAATCAAGACGATAGAAAACAAGGTTTTGCAGTTACTATAGTACGAAGACATTTTTAACAATATTTTTACTCGAGTCTCTATATTACACATCTAATATTATGACATTCATAAAGGGCCAATGAAAACACGAAAAATTAAAAATCTAAACTACAAAATAAAATTGTGAACCGGCCAAATGAAACACCCGTTTAATTCTGTACAAACGCTTCGAGACGCGCGGAGCTGTCAGTTGCGCGACAGCAGGAAAGAAAGAAGAACGGTCACGCCCCATACAAAAAAAACCCAGACCCGACAGAAACGAGACATACCTCAGTTTTTTTGTCATGTCTTAATTAGTTAAATTATATATTTTTTATATTCGAAATCCATGTATAACACCAAATTATTACCCTTTGTTTTTGTTCAGGCGTCATACAAAAACTAATACAAAATGCCTATTTATCACCAAAATTGGTAAATGTATGTACCTAAATGTCTATTACAGCTGCTATGGAATGTATCTAGGTGACCTGGAGATACAGCCGGATTATACAGGGTGGTTATACATATGGAACGATAAGTGATCTCACTCGATTATTTCTAAACTATACAAGATATCGAAAAACTAGTTAATGATTCTGAAAGTGCTTCACGAGCTCTTTCAAATGGTACCAATAATAGGTTACAGGTTATGGAAGCTGGACATTGAATTTTTGGATTTTGTAACTTCTCGTTTCCACCCTGTATAATCCGGCTGTATCTCCAGGTCACCTAGATACATTCCATAGCAGCTATTTAGGTACATACATTTACCAATTTTGGTGATAAATAGGCATTTTGTATTAGTTTTTGTATGACGCCTGAACAAAAACAAAGGGTAATAATTTGGTGTTATACATAGATTTCGAATATAAAAAATATATAATTTAACTAATTAAGACATGACAAAAAAACTGAGGCATGTCTCGTTTCTGTCGGGCCTGGGTCACAGATGACCGTTCTTCTTTGTGCCACACATTCACATTTACAACGCCGGCTCGGACCGGCCGGCTGTGGGCGAGGACTCGCTAACGTTACAACCGATCGTCTAAGACCAAAGGAAGATGCCGACCACAGCGGATTATCCAGAATATAAAATTACACACCGTCAAACCCCAGAGGACGCGCGAGGCAAATTACGCGTTCACAATGTAGCTTCATGAGCCTAGAATGTGGCGAAAATTGATCTTATTTGCATTGTATCTCGCTTCTGGAGTAGACCACGTTCATATCCGGCCACAAAGTAACAAAGACAGCCGACATCGTGGCAATCTGTGGCCGGACTTTCCGCGCCGGTGTCGCCGCACTACCCGCTACCGTAGACAACCACTAATTTATAGACTATTTAAATTTATTTTCACGTATGGGGCCGATGTTTTTACAAAGCGGGCGATGAAGTAACGACGATCGACACAGACGAAGTTATCGGGTACGAATCGAGCGAGTGGCGACCGCGTGTGTCCGTATTTTTATTTACAAAAAATAATGTCGCAATCGACAGCCGAGGCGGCCGCCACTGCGCTCGGTTTGTACTGCGAAGTTGTATTCATCTAAAGTACAAAAAGCGTACACTATCAGGTAAGTTTGAAGTGCGTGCCGTTTAGATTGGCATAAGTTTCATTTGATTTTGTCCCGTCGGTGATTTAGAAGTTGAATTGAAACATCATCTTGTACAACGTTTACGATTCAAATGCTTGTTTTTAAATTCTGATTGCGACTGGACTTTGGAATTGAACGAGTTCAAATAACATTAGTTAAATGACAAGGACAAACAAGTGAAATCTTTCAAGATGTACATACCAGATAGAAGATTTTCAATCGTAATCGCCATCTCGCAGAAGGCGATTACGCTAGATGCTATGTGAGTCAAGGCGATCGCATAAAGTCTATGTCAATCTAGCCGGCACGCGTGATAGCGGGTCGCCCGCGGCTTAGTTGGCGCCGAAGGCGTCGGCGAGCTCGGCCTGGCAGTCGAATGTCTCCGAGCTGTCTGCGTGCTCTGGGTAGAACTCCCTGTATATTTTGTCCAGTAGCGCTTGCCTGGAAACAACGTTTCAAAATTAATAAAATATCACTAAAGCCTGGTCCGTGAGCACGTAGAATCCCGTCCAATGACCCCAAGCTACCCATCCCTATCGCTCGCGCGTAATTATGTTGCTGTCGCGACTGTGCGACGCGCGCCCGCAGTGAGTGTGCGAGCGAGAATTGGGGTCATTGGACGGGATTCTACGTGCTCACGGACCAGGCTTTAGACAAAATTATATTCTTGGACATTTTACAGCGCCATCTAGTCCTAAACTAATGAGAGAATTATTATCATTCTTAAACATTTTTTGAGGAAAATACCCAGAATAATATTCATTACACCCAGAATATTAAGGCGCTGGATGCAGGCCGCCACCAACCGGCTATTGTGGAAATTATTGGGGGAGGCCTATGTTCAGCAGTGGACGTCCTATGGCTGAAATGATGATGATGATGATGATGATGAATGTTCATTAACACAAATTACCGTAAATACTGGCTGGTTTTATCGATGACGGTAGTCGTATAAACCCGTCGTTATTTAACTTAAATGCTTAAAGACAATTTTGACACACATTCCATTATCAATCATTGGCATTCCTTCGAGCTAAAGTGTGTATGAGACGCGATAAGCTAATGAGAAAAACGACACTGCACATTTGTTAAAGCAAGCCTACTTGTTGGATATTTCCTCAATTTTCCTCTATCTATGCTGGAAAGAGGTTAAGTGAGTCTTAATCTAAGTATCGTTTACATATTGATGGCCAGATGGTATATTACAAAGTCGCTTCCTTGTCGGGTTAATTTAGAAAACAATATTCTCTAAACTGCAGGACTACTCCGTAGCCCCATCTACGTAGTTTTAGTTTCGGGTCTATCTGTCACTATCTCTCATGTTAAGGTAGCATTCGGATCAACGCGACCGCGACGCGCGACCGCGACCGGCGACCGCGACCGGCGACCGCGACCCACTGCTTTATATGAATTAATAGGAAGTGCTGACGGATGCAAGCGACCGAGTCGCGCGACGTGTGGGCGTGGCCTGCCGGCTACTTGCGTCGCGCGACTCGGTCGCTCACAAGGCAGTGCCGCGGCGCGACAGATGCAAAATGGCCGTGTTTTCTTCGCACGAAGACGAAATTTTAATAGAATTAGTAAGTAAAAACGCACCTGTATTCGATACGAGACTTCAAGCTTATAAAGATAATACTGTGAGAGACAATATTTGGGAAAAAATTGGAAAAGCATTAAATAAAACAAGTAAGTTCAAATGATACATATTTTTTATTAGAAAAGGTACTTATTTTTATTGTTTACAGATAGGTACTATTTTACTTTAACTGCAAACATACTGAGTTTCGTATGGGTCGCACGACTCGTGTCGCGAAGATTCGTAAGTAGCTGTCGCCCTGCGACCTGCGACCGGTCGCCGGTCGCGGTCTCGAGTCGCGGTCGCGCGTCGCGGTCGCGTTGATCCGAATGCTACCTTTAGTTTTTTTACTTCTTAAAGGGACAATAGATCTAGGTATTTGGTATAAATTTCAATTTGATACCTTTATTCGTTCGTGAGAAATAAGGTAGTAAGTTTCATTTTATTAAAATATTTTTATTATATTATATAACTAAAAAAATGAAATTTTCGCAATTTTTCCTATATTTGCATTATATGACAATGCTTTATGCCAAATTTCAAGATTCTGAGTTTACGGGAAGTATCCTGTAGGTTTTGATTCCTTTGCGAGTGTCGAAAATTTGTTGAAAATATCGACATAATCGGCTGTATCTTTTGATTGGCTTGGCTTAGAAGTTTGATATTTTCACAGCTTAAAGGGACAATAGACCTGAGTATTTCATGTGAATTTCAGCTTGATACGTTCACGCGTTCTTGAGATAAAGGGTCTTGACAGACGGACGGACGGACAACAAAGTGATCCTATAAGGGTTCCGTTTTTTCCTTATGAGGTACGGAACCCTAAAAAATAAACTAAACTATTTTATTATCTTATTTGGACTTTGACAAACGTCAAAAATCTGTCAAACTCCATACAAAATGCACAGGTTATCGTCATAGTTACCGTTAAAGTTAGGTGGTGCAACTGAGCCTTAGTATTTATTTGTGAATAGTAGGTCCACTCACTTGGCAGCCAGCCCGCCGCCGGGCGGCAGGCCGGGGATGTTCTCCTGGACCAGCTGCTTCAGCACCCACGAGAAGTGGCACGACGTGTCCTCGCGCTCCTCGGTGCCCGCGCTGCGCTCGATCAAGGCTGGAATACAGAGACACTTGATTACTATATTACTAATCACGTGGTTACAAAGAAACAAATACAGGAAATTAAATACATGACAGTGGCACATAATAATGGAAGAAGAAAAAAATAAAAACAAGAGTTAACTGAGCAGTGCCACCCATTCACCAACAGGATGCCCACTGCAACGGGACCCCACTCAGCATATGCCGTGGCCCACGGTAACGAAGGCCACGGCGCTGGTTTTCAGTGTGCCCCAAAGACACCCATCATTTATTACGTCGAAGACATACACCAAAATAAACAATTGTTGAATGATCTATTAAGTACACGAGCACCTGTGCCAGAAGAGATTCTTTGATAAAATTCTTTCAGGGTAACATTTATGAACTATATCAAATTGTGTTTGAACCTATACTAGGGAATAAGGTTTAAAATATAGTGGGAACTACATTCCCATTAGCTTAAGGTTTAAAAACACCCTTTTTTCTTTTTTCTAAGATAAAAGATGAAATATTAAAGGGCTAGGCCCGGTACAATTGTGTGTGACATTACTGATTCGTCTACATAGGCTTTATTAACGTATTCGTGTCATGGTTATATTACGGTAGATAGACTTATCAGGACTTATCCCTAAGGAACGGTTTTTAGTTTACTATCATATTGAAAATATACAAATACAAGTAAGGAAGGTGAGCCTGACGCTAGATGCTAGCCGAAATTCAAGGCAAAAAACTAATGACTCCCATTGCAGATCTAATCAGGAAGACAATGCAATGCCAAAAAAGCTATCTTTTATCTAAAAATAATCCCCTTGCCAACAATAGCCAATGCCGCGAGCGCTAAATACCAATAAATTAATTACTAAACACTCACAAATCATGCATTTTAATACTTCTAGAAAATGTTGGCATCAATAAGTAATGCCCGCGCTAATATTATTATCTTGGATGTAAGTGATACCTAACAGTTCGTCTTACAACTTATTTACTTCGTATTAAAGTCTTAATAATATTCGAATGACGTTATTGCTTACTGAATTATAAACGTTCATTCATCATTATTGCAATGTGCTAATCAGTAGCTCGTTAATAGCTGAAGTGTGTACGATATGAAACGCAATTTTGCGATGAAAAATATTAGGCTCATATTGCAACTTTCCGTGGGAAAAAAACTTGAAATCTGACCACACGGACACTGATAAGGTGATTATGCTATGTTCAGTAAAAATAACATAGGTATATTAAAAAGTAAGTTGTAATTTCCTATTGTAATGCTCATATTAGAGACCAAAACTAGCTTTTAGAAACTATAAAGGTCGAATAGTTGGCGATCGATTTCGATTCCTTAATTCATTCTTCAACTTCTGTATTATTTTACACCTGTTCAAACATGATAAATGTATGAAAATCTCATAATTTAAATATGGACGGACACATTTGCTTAATGCCTACCTACACTCTATTTCAGTCAGTTAGCGATTTTTTAGAAATTGAATATTTTGTATCAATGTTTTCTTTGGTGGATAAGAACTTAAGTCAACATTAAAATACATATTCAATCGAAATAGAAAAACCCAACTGCATTTTTATTTATAGCTTGCTGCAGTTGCAGCATAGAAGCGATTTGACAACTTTAAAATATCGCCATTCATTCCCGAGCATGGCAAAGGAATATAAACCGCGACAAGGTATTGGATGCCACCGTATGTGATCGGGGAGTTATCGGGCATTTATTTTTAGTGGCTCTAAAACCCGTGGCGGGAGGTGCCACTCGCGCTAGCAGGGTTGCCAGCAGACCGGGTTTATGCAAACTTTTGGCTTTCAGTCTAAAATTGAGACTAAAAATCGCCAGAATTTATGAAAGATGAAAAATTTTTGAAAGAAAGTTACTTCATTATTTCATTTTACGATAAAATTTCTGGCTTTTGAAAAGGACTTTCGAACTTTCAGTTGGTAGCCCTACAAGTGACGACTTATGGCATCCTTCGAGCCACACTTCAGCTGACATTCGCGTGACCGCTGCCTTACAATTTGGTTCAAGGGCGGGTGAATCATACCCATTCTAGGGCTCCCTTCGCCAATGTATAAATACAACCGTACGTTTCTTGATTAAAACTTAATTATTCCATATCGGAGCAAAATTATATTTATAGACAGTAGCACCAAACATACTATCTGCGTTATCTCAGAATGACATCATGCTTTTCTTTGTAAAATGTTATACAGTGATGTCTTACGATGATACAACAAAGTCGCATAAAGACTAATGCCCAATTCATAACATTAGAAGCAATTTTATGGCATGGATATTTCTTAAACGGATCAATAGACACGAGACGTTATAAACTGCAGTATACAATAATGAAAAATTTATAGCCACTGCAACCTCATGGCAATTGCATTTGCGTCCCCAGTGCATTTATGACGGCTCTATAACCGACTCTGACTAATCCGTCTCGAGCCTTGAAATAGCATCGACAGATCATTGCATTCGAAAGGGAGAAAATTGCCGGTAACTGAGGCACGATTGTATGCAAAATGAGTGTACACTGTGCAGCTTGGTCTATAATCAGCGTCGCACGTGACAATCGAGTAAATCGATAACAGCAAGAAACAGGATTATAATACACGCGTCGTACGGCTTCTCAAGATCTTATATTATAGCCTACGATGCTTGGGCACGCACTGCAGCCGCAGGCGTCGGCGCGGACGCATTCATTGCTTTAACCCTTTCGACACACCAACAATATGACTCAATTATTAACCCCTCTAGAGTGCAAAGGTAACTAAGGGTCAGGATTAAAGCAATGAAACTATGCATTTACAGTTTTCAATAACTTTAATAGCAAACAATGTTAACAATCTTCGTTGGAGGTATAAAAATTTAGTATCACATTATTAGTAAAACGTCAAGACAAATAGTAAAGTCTTTTAGAATTTAGATAGTTAATAATATCACAATGGTTAAATTACACAAATTGGATTAGAACAAGAATTATTTTACACAAACACTGAACTTTACAATATTTATACATAGGGTAGGAAAAATAGAAACTACTATCTATTCAAATGTCTTTTAAAATTAGTGAAATGTTCAAGTTGAAGATTTCTTGATATAGTTGAAATATGTAAATATTATATCAACATTCTAGATATTAAACAGTTGTTATTATTTAAATGGATTGTATTGCACTCAAGTCTTAAAATATAATCTAAAACGAAACAAATTAAAACTCTTCAATACCTTCTAACTTTTCATAAAATCAATAAAACTAAATAATAGAAAACAACAAAAAAATGTACTTATAGTACCAATATAAAAGATATATAATATTATATAACACAAAAATAAATATAATGAGTAAAAAAAAGTGATAATAATAACTATTATCTATTTGAGGAAAAATGGTTTTTCCTGGGTTTAGTTTTAGCAAATGTGGGTTATAAAAATAAATATGAATAGTTTGGCATTATAGTTTCCTTCTTCTATTGGTAACTTGAAAATACTACTCAAATTTGAAATATTCAAGATTAAGAATACACATTAGACATTTATACAAGCACAAAATGACATTATTTAGCAGCTGAAATAACTATCAAATTCATGCTACATTTCATAAATCCTTATCTGGATAAAAAATATTATAATCTGAATTGTCAAGACTAATAATTATAATTATCATTTCTAGGGAAAATGTATAAAATTTACATATAAGTACTTTATTACGTATTTAGTTAATTATGTCTTTTCATCAAGGGAAGTTTTTAGTATTTTTACGATAGTGTAATTAATACATATAGGTTTAAGTTTGGTCCAAATTACACTAACATTTATTTACATTTACATTACAGATAATATTGCTTTTATATTTTTTCCATACCAAATTTTTACAATCTCTCATAGACTAATAATAATAAAAACTGTATGTACTTTGCCATAGCCACTTATACAACTGACGTATAGGAATCCATTATATTTATAGGAGATGCAAATTCATTAATATGCTATGCATGATACGAAAAATATGTATGGCAGAACGATACCATTATGGATTACTAATCGTTGGAACAACTAGCAGTAAAGATAGAAGTTTGAACGCGTTTATCTTGGTGCTACGTAAATAAATAAAATTGATACTTTCAACTTTGGAGCAATAAAGAATTTGAATTTGAATTTGAACTTAATATTAAATGAGCCCATTATAGACTTTGAACTTTCAATGCTCTTGTATCAGCAACTGGGTTTCATTAGTGATCAAAAAGTTGATTCTAGCTACTTAGAATAAATTAGGACTGCAATAAACCATTTATCTTACGCTCAAAATATCTTAGTTGCATTAAAACGGTAACATTTGACAAATGTTGCAACCTATTAAAATATTACTTCGTAATAAGGTTGCCAACAATACCAATCTTTAATTCGGAATTGCTGGTCCAGCACATGATAATCGAAAACAACAATCGGCACTATGTAATGAACTCTATCCAGGTTTTATTTTAAACATAACTTGTGATGCCTAAGACCAAACCGTTTGTTAATTTTAGAGTACTTTAAGTACATTCTTTATGCACAATTAACTATAACTAATAATAATAATGGCTCGGTAGCTTGGGCCCTGCTCCGCTACCAGCGGAATAACTATTTTTAAGTATTTTTTTATAATGTACTTTTATTAATTTTTTTTTTGATAATTTACATTGTAAAAAAATATTTAAAATTAAGAACGAAAGTTAATAAAGAGAATAATGGCTCGGTAAAAACAGTAACTAGTTTAAAATGTAAACTAAACATTCTTTTTATTTTAGCATGGTAACCATGCCTTTATCATTTTAGAAAATTGTGCAACAAAAAATATTACTGGTTATCTCATGCCCGTTTTCACCATCAATCCCTAATTTTTAAGTGACCCTTATGGTAACACATAACAGGCATTTTGTATTCATAGGGGTCATTTAAAAATTAGGGATTGATGATGAAAACGGGCATCAGTCTCTTAACCAGTAGGAAATCTAGAATATTTTGGGGATAAAAAAATTCCTACATAACTGAAATCCTGTCTAAATTAAGTTTCACGAGTTTTTATATTACTTTTAACTCGCACTTTGGAGTAGAGTAAACTCGTGTGTAACTTTTGAATAATAAGGGAATACAAGTTTTATGAATGTAACAAATAGGAACAAAACCAAATGAGATTCGATAAGGCAAGCTCGTAGTATGATTATCTCAAATCGTATCACTGTGGCAAGTCCACTTGGAACCTCATTTTTATGTACCCTCAGATACGTGAGGTAAATCAATAAATTAAATTATGAATCGCTTATACAATCCAGAGATAACATGCAGACATTGAACTGGCTTCACAAGGATTCTGTTAACGTGTGCTACGTTTGAAATGATATGATAAGTTTTGCAAAATGGTTGTGGAAAAAAGTTGAAGGTTTGCGTGACTTGAAAACTGCATTTGAAATGTGAATGATATGAAAATGTCATGAGAAACAATCTTTAGAGTCTTTAGACACATAACTATGTAATTCAGTAACTTCACACTGGTCATATTTGAGTTTTATTCTGGAAAAAAGGCTATGGATGTTAAAGCAGATATGTAAAAGTAAACAGATGGTTATTTGTTATCATAAAAATGTTCAATTACGATGCGCGATATCGGTCTGTTTAGTCCAAGAAAGATTTATCGGGTGTCTCTCAGTCTGAATCAGACTTGGATAAACTCGAGCCAATGAGATTCGAACTGTTGCAGTTCGATTCCATAACTTTCAACCCCACGAATATTCGATTCTGTAAACATCGAACTATGTACTGAGTTCGAATCGACTTCGAAATATTCGATTCAACGCCTTTCATGGCGTTCAAATTCGATCGGTGAATTACGAACTCATGGATGTATCTATCTCTTTTTTTCAGGTACTGTGCAGCTGGATAATGATAGTACAATTAATTATTCGTAAATACATTTTCAGAATCAGACGAGACAATAAACAAACAGGCATATTTTAAAGTATGGACTATGCATGTTGTAATGTTTTTTTAACATTATGATCACTGAACTGTATCAAAACGAATGATACATGACCTGTTATCATAATGACATTAATAAATTCGATGATTTAATTAAAGTTATCTACTAGTTTAAAAAATAAACTCAAAATAAATCATAACAATGTACATAAATTATTTAAATAAAATACAACAAAAATCTAAGTACCTATTTGAACCCTGCATGAAAAAAAATGAATACTGGCAAAAATGTACTTTAAGTACATAATATTATATGGCTTATTAATAAATAAGTGAACTTCCTATGTGCTTTTAATAATTTTGAAGAGATATCCTTGAAATGAGTTTAATTGTTGACACAGGTGTATAATTTTTTCTTAAAAATTGTTAGTTCTTATAATATTTACCTAAGTAATGCTTTCCAAATTATTAATTCGGATACATACTTACGTACTTTAATCCGAATAATTACAACCTTAATTTTACTTTTACTTGCGCATTTTTTTGTCACAACACCTATCTGACAACCAAATTTTTTTCTCTAATTAATTTTGTTACTAAGCAATAAACTTAGCTTCAAATTGTTAGTTAGTCTATTACGTAATCTTTAGCACTAAAAATATGTTTTGGAAGTAAAATCAGTTACAGCATCCTGTAAGTGCATTAAGTTGTTTGTTTAGATTTGCCTATTCGTCATCATTAGTCAACGTTAGTTAACCTCTAACTTCATTTGAGGCCCTACACTCAATACTTCGGTTTTGTCTGTCTGTCGGTGTGTTGCGGTCCCTACTTTTATGGGAGCAGGCATGCAGTAGTGAGTAATAGCAACCTGTGAGCCTCTGCCGGAGTGTCTCGTCCAGCTCTCGGTCCGCTCGCTGAGCTTCTGGGCTGGGCTTGGGGGCCGCCGGAAAAACCACTAGAACGATGCTCATGTTGTCTTTGCTACCCTGTAAAATTTATAATTATGTGAGCAAGTGAAATGGGAAAATAGATTTCTGAAATTTGAAAATTTGAGCGCTGTGTGAAATTGTCCAGATTTATTATTATTATTCTTGACCTCAGAACTTGGGCATTATTACATGTAGAATTAAGAATGGGAAAGGGAGGTTATATTTACATGGAAATGTAATAATATTGTATCTAATTATGGGTAATTAAAAGAGAAATATAATGATCTAACACATAACATAACCTGACAAGGGATGAAAACAAGTATTTTTAAGAAATTTATTAAAATTATTTGCATGATGTTATGCACTTGCTAAATAAATCAAGTTCCATCTGTTTTACATTAAAAACTAGATAATACGGGTATATTATACTGCATCATAAGAAACAATGAATATATGCAGTAGCATATTGATTCAGTTCAGCAAATAGGTACCTACCTACTGTGATATGCAAACTAGCACTTCTAATCTTACTAGCTCACAGTGATGACTTAATTATTCATCAACCAGTAATGATTGTTCATGAATGAGTATTTCATCATTAAATAAATGTTCTTGACAATCATCAGGATTTAAGCAAAGTAACTACATAGCACTAGGAATTATGTTTGATACGTAAGATACAGTAAAAAACAAAGCTAAAAGTATAACTATAGTGTACACACCTCTACCACAGGATTAACTATTGTAACATAATAATGAATAAGCTATTTACCTTGTATAAGCATGTGTCGATGACCTGATTGGTAATAGCCGTTAAGTCGTCTGTGAGCAGTAGAAGTGAGTGCACATAAGCACACAGGGCCTCATTGCTCATCACATCCCACACTCCGTCGCACGCCAGCACCAGGAACTCATCCTCAGCCTCGGACCGCTCGTGGACTGACACCTCAGGCTCAGGGGACACCAGCTGTTCACACGGGCCACGGTCCAGAACCTTCTTGTATTCATAATCTCCAAGCGCCCTAGACACGGCTAAGCTTCCATTCACACGCTGGATCATCACAGATCCGCCAGCTTGGACTATACGTGACTTCTCCGAAGGTAGTTCCGGTTTGTGATCTCGGGTGGCGAATATCGGCGCGCCGTTTCGCGCGAGCACTGCGCGGGAGTCGCCACAGTTGGCGATGTAGATCTGCTTCGGCGACACGAAAGCGCAGACTGCTGTTGACCCTGACTTCTCCTCGCCGTTGGACAGCTCCGGAAGCTCTCGCATCTTCTTGTCGAGGTCCAGGAAGCCAGCACGAATAGCCTCCGCGATCTCCTCGCGCCGGAACTCGTCCGTCTGCAAGATGCACTCGAGGAGGTTGTCCGCGCAATGTGCAGACACCCGCGCCCCCGCGTGTCCGTCGAACACCGCGAAATATGACCAGTCCGATAGGGTCCCGTTCAAAGTTAGCTGCGCGTGGTGGGCATCCTCCATCTCCACCCGCCAACCCTGCATCGACGCCACGCCATATCGAAGACCGTTCCCTTCTCCGTTCTCGTTGTACTTCTTAGTTTCGGGCTTATTCAAAAACGCCCCCATGCTGAGTCCTCAAATTTTAATCCGTTAATCACACATAGTTCCCACACCATCAGGCACTCAAACGAACGTCGCAACCGATAACGTAAAAGGGAAGCAAAAGCATCATTGGAAGTACGATACGATCTCACAGACAGATCACGTCACACCGATGTTACACTACACTGGTGTCGAAGAAACTTCGACGCGTGGACTGTTTAGTTTTAGCTGCTTCCAGGTAGGTTATTCAATTACGCGATGGTGTTGCGTAGACCTTGATGACAAATCGGGCACTTTTGGAATCGTAAAAACGAAAAACCAACTCAAAAGAATGAATGGCGGACATAAATATGAATTGTCTATGATTTAACTTTTTAAGATTTTATTGGAAAATATTGTCTATGATTTTGAGGTCCAACTAAATATTATTTTTCATACTTGTCACGTGCGCGGGTTACAAGAGGAGAAACAAAACGCAGCTACTTGACACATACTGTCAAGTCTCCGGAAGATTGTCAAAATATTGTCAAATGTTTTTGGTTAGTTTTTCAAAACTTACATGAGAAAAACCCATATGAATTACATACTTGACGAACATTGCATTAGTGTTTAAATGGTGTTTTTGTCTGTAACAAATGATTCATAATTAAAATACATTAGCAGCAGTCTATTCCTAAATGACATAACCTCTATAAATCATCAACATTATCAATGAATTCTTCGGCTTCGATTAGTCTAAACTCGTAATTTTTTACAGACAAAATGTACAAAACGGTCATATCTCGGTGGTAAGTGCAAAACAGTTTTGCCTGATTAATTTAAGTTGAAAAACAGAAATAATCTAAATAGTGCTTTTAGGTTACCTATTCGATTACTCAAGAGGGAATGTTACTTGAAACCCGGTTCTAAAAGGTTGCCCGTGAATGTAAGCCAACAATGGACGAGGCAGTTGTCTATATCTGCCGTGTGTTGTAAGAAAAGGCGGTCTGAGGAAGAGAAGGTAAGTAAGACTAGAAAATTCGCACCATTGAAGCCATTGGACAGAATAATAATAATACTAGATAATCTTGCATAAAATACAAAAGTCAGCTGCAATCAAACTGATAGGCGACTATCACACTGCAACGCGCTCCGCCGCGGGACGCGTGATTTCATATAAAAAATCCCGCGCGCAGACGCGTTAGTGTGTTGTGCCGCGCGTGTTTTCTATACAAACTGAGGTACTTGCACACAATGATTAAATCTGTCGTCCCGCGTAACGCGGCGGAGCGCGGCGCAGCAGTGTGATAATCGCCATAGACCAAAAGCCTTCTTTTTCTATTTGATAACCTCTCACCCATAGTTCTTTGATATATTATTATTAATAAAATTGACCTTTCAATTCTTCACAGGCACTGCCATCAACTGGAAGACCTGCAATTAGATATTCTCCTAAGGGAGGTTCTGAAGTAGTGGGCATATGGAGGAATATGACAGTTCAAGATATAGCCAATGTGCTAAATAAAGATGTAGGCAAGTGTCCCCAACTTATCATTTTTATGTTATGGAATTGAAAAGTTGAAAAATGTAACTTCTCTCTATCATACTCAACTACTTGAGTTATTTTTCTCTTTAGTCTCTCTTCATAATTATAGCTAAGACAGTCATATAGCACTGTATGAAAAATAAAGATAGTTAACTGTACTCTAAATATCATTTATAAAAAAATATTTTTCAGACCATGTTTTCAAAGCACTGGAGTTTGCAGACAAGACATCAGACACAATTTACAAAAAGAACACTGTGATACACAACCCCCAGATCATCCGAGATGTGGTCAAGATATCTGGGATGAGGTTCAAGATCGTGCCCCGGCCTGACCAGGAGGTAGAGGAGGAAGTGGTGAGTATACTGTCTATTAGAAAGAAAGAAACATGAATAATTTATTTGGTTCAAACCAGGGTTCGAGGATATACAGTGTGTCCGGGCATGTAGTGATCAAACTTTAAGGGCGTAATCTATGGACAATTTTATCGATGAAAATACTTCAAATTTGGGGCCTGACCCATTTCTCGAAAAATTACATCGATTTAAGTTCTTAATTTTTAGTTTACACCTCTTCTTTAAAAAACAAGTGAAAGCGTGGGTAGCTTAACATTAATAGGCAAATATTTTATATCATGCGATAGCCAATAAAATTATCTATTAGTAGAAGAAGAAAGCAGACACAAGTTTCATACATTTTATGGGAGTAAGAATGGATTTAATTAGAAAAATACATTACTTTTTTCACTTCTTTTTCAGTTATTTTCCAACACAAGAAAAACCAGGTCGTTAAGGTATGTTTTATTTGCATTGTATTATTAGTATTTGAGCTATTCTACAAAACGAATGTAAATTTATTAGTCTACGTCTATTAGTTTCGACGTAATTGTTGAACAAAGATACCCCTTCCCAGCGGTTTCCATAGCGCACGCGACATGCGAAAATGCACTGCCTGAAAGAATCACACAACCTATTCCGATTACTATGGAAACCGCTGGGAAGGGGTATCTTTGTTCAACAATTACGCCGAAACTAATAGACGTAGACTAATAAATTTACATTCGTTTTGTAGAATAGCTCAAATACTAAAAATACAATGCAAATAAAACATACTTTAACGACCTGGTTTTTCTTGTGTTGGAAAATAACTGAAAAAGAAGTGAAAAAAGTAATGTATTTTTCTAATTGAATCCATTCTTACTCCCATAAAATGTATGAAACTTGTGTCTGCTTTCTTCTTCTACTAATAGATAATTTTATTGGCTATCGCATGATATAAAATATTTGCCTATAAATGTTAAGCTACCCACGCTTTCATTTGTTTTTTAAAGAAGAGGTGTAAACTAAAAATTAAAAACTTAAATCGATGTAATTTTTCGAGAAATGGGTCAAGCCCCAAATTTGAAGTATTTTCATCGATAAAATTGTCCATAGATTACGCCCTTAAAGTTTGATCACTACATGCCCGGACACACTGTATATCAAGGGATATATATCTTGATATATATCGGATATATATCCGATATATATCCAGCCGGTTTTGATGATATATATCAATTTTTAAAATTTGTAACTGTATTTATACTTTTTCACATAAGATTTTTGTTTTTTAGTTGATTTTGCCGTATTTACAAGAATATTTTATGTTTTTGCTTTATTTGTCTGATTTTAAGTTTTAAAAACATTAAAAACATGTTTATGTGACACATATGCAATGGTATTCATTAATAATACAATAAAATAATAGTATAGCTTTCATACAAATTTGATATATATCAAAGTTGATATATATCGGATATATATCATTAATATCCGATATTTTGATATTTATAATAAACTAGCTGACCCGGCGAACTTCGTACCGCCTTAGCGTAGAGATTTTCTTAATATTTTTTTCCGTAAGAACCATCCTTGGACTTCCACAAACATTTAAAAAAAAGAATTATCGAAATCGGTTCAGCCGTTCACACGTGATGCCGTGACAACGCGAAACGGGTTTCATTTTTATATATATAGATATCGGATATTTTCGAACCCTGGTTCAAACACAATACCAGATATTTGATAGAATAAAATTTCTTGAACCAAAGAGATGACTAATGATTCTATTAGAAATGTGTGAATGATAAAATTTGTGATTTAGTAATCTGTTGAAACTAATTTCAAATTAATCAATAGAGCAGTAGTAATATCAATAATGAAAGGTTATCATTACAAGTCTGATGTGAGTTCACTATGTAACCAAAAGATGACATCGACAAAACGCCTTCCTCACGCCTCGCATATGTCTATCTCTGCCCTTATTGTACCTTGGTTTATTATGTCAAAAATTGACACAGACAAGAGAAATTCTCCCTCGCGCTTGGCTTGAACTAACGGAGCGCCTCTTAAAACTCGCGGTTGCTTTTTGCGGCAATGTTGTGCAGTTGTTTTGAATACAGAAATGCAATAATAAATAAACACATTCAAGAGATACTCCATCTCCTACTTCAGAACAAAGACGCGGTACCAGCGCCGCCGGCGCCGCCCGAGGCTCTAAAACCGCGGCCGCCGGTGGTGTGCGTGATGGGACATGTAGACCACGGGAAGACCACGCTGCTGGACTCGTTACGCGACACCTCCGTGGTGGACCAGGAGTTTGGTGGCATCACGCAGCATATCGGCGCTTTTGAAGGTGAGATTTGATGCTTGAGAAGATTTTTTTATCAATTGTGTCTATTTTCGTTTAATTCTGAGTTTATTATTTTATTATATCAATTTATAAAACCTTGTGTAAAGAATAGTTTGTTCCCCACACAAATATTTAAGATTTATTTTCGTGTGAAAACGTAGTTCTGTTTTCCTGGGCCCATCTATCCAAAATAGATTCAGTTGTTTAGGGTCTGCGCTAGGGCACACGCACGTTGCGAAGGGTTTCCATACGTGCTGTGAGGGGAGTGGACCTCTTATTATAAGCGAGCACGCGATGGTTATACCCGCAGAGCGCAGGGCCCCGTCTAGGAAGTCCGAAGCAAAGCTCCGTGCGCCCGCGCATGTTTTAGCGTAAGAGTAAGGCCCTTAAGCGTGAGACTACATTTTTTTATAAAGCCCCTCGTACTAAGCTAATTATGCTTGTATCACGAGTGAGCTCACCACAATAGTCGAACGGCGGCGGGGACCGAACCCGCGTTCCCCGGATCACGAGTCGGCCAGTCCGACCCCTTCACCGTAGGCTATCGTGGCTGTATTGTAACCTTATATGTAAGTTATATCCTTCTACAGTGAAACTTCCATCCGGCGATCGCGTGACGTTTCTGGACACGCCCGGGCACGCGGCGTTTACAGCGATGCGTTCGCGCGGCGCGCACGCGACCGACATCGTAGTGTTGGTTGTGGCGGCGGACGACGGCGTCATGGAGCAGACGCTCGAGTCTATTAGGATGGCGAGGGAGGCGAAAGGTAAGCAATAAACAAATATTACAACCTTGAATGCACTCACTCGAGGCAGCCACTCGGCCCAAGGCTGCCTCTAGCTAGTGGATACGCGGCTATTGCCGAGCCTAAAGCCTGGGTGCCAAGCAACTCAGTCGGTGTTGATATTTTTTACACATAGTGCCATATTAGGTCTCGGACTTGGAATACTTGGGTCAGCGCAGTTAATAATTACGATTATTTTGTTCCAGTTCCAATATTGGTGGCGATCAACAAAATCGACAAGCCAGGTGTGAACATTGTAGGTATGCCTCTATTTCACATTATTGTGCTTTTGTGTATTCAGCTTAACATTTTTTACATAAACTCACGCGAAGATTGTCGCTGCACAGTAAACGTAAACATTAATTATTTGAATTAAAT